GGGAAGGCGGATTTTGTCTTTTTTGTAGCACACAGAATGCGCAAATCCGTGGATATGTTTTCGGGTTGTCCTTGCTTTATGTCCCTCTTTTCATAACAGCCGGGGATTATAAATTTTTATGAGGGATTTCCTATTCAACAGTGGTATTTCCTATTCAACAGTGGTATTTGTTCTATAATCCTGGCGAGACTTTTTCGACAGAATTCTTTTGTAATCCTCGAAAAATCTTCGACAGCCTCACCAGCAGTGATATTTGTTGTTGCTAGATGTAATTTTTTTGGGCAGTACCTCCCTCATCCACCGCAAATGCTGTTGAACTTTAAATTGAGGGGATTTTTCATAGCGTGCTAAGCTTGACGTGTTATGACACATTCGCCCTTTCAAAGCAAAAAGCGTCTTTTCCTCTCTTGTTGCGTATCTTCTCTTTAGTTTAGTCTTATGCAGTTTGACACATGCTCATCTTATTCCTGACGGGCAGGTGATTGTACTGATAATTCCCACTTCTACCTGCATGCAACGTTCGGTCGGTGTTTACAGCTAAGAGATGAAACAGAAACTACATCCAAACATGTTTTCTTGCTTATGATATTTTGACTGATCCCTTATCCCCTACTCTATTATTTTTAGCATTCGGAGAATCAAGCGATAGTATATGAGATGTATATACAGTAAATTCAATAATAAATAAATTTAAAAAAGCTAAGATAAAAAATAAGCATAAAAATGAGGGTTGAAGGTAAGTGTCAAATTGCAAATAAAGGTCAGGAAGGCATTGTCTTTGGCGCCAGGAATAGGGAATTTCAGTGGCTGCAACAAGAGGAAGTATTTGCATAGAAGCTATTTGTAAAAGGTCATTCCCATTCATGCATCGAGTGACCATTGTTTGTTGTTTTGTGGCTTTTGAGGAAGGGCGCAGATTTGGGGGGTTAATTTATGCCAAGTAGCCCTCATTTCCCTAGAATCTATTGTACTGGAATTAATGAGACTATCTGTAAAAAGGTCAATTTTCTTCTGCCTACTCCAACCATCATTATTACTCGAGTGGGTGCGAGTTCTGAGTTGTATCGTGGGGGGGCTTTTTGAGTAAAGCTTTTTCGACTATTTTCTTAAATGCAGGGCAACTAGGAGTCGATCAATTTGCATTTGATTTTCGTGACAAGAAATGAGCAGTTCTAGGAAGTGGGCCAAGGGAATTCGAAATATGGCTAAAATTCAAATAACCACTTATGAATTTGACTGCTTTCTTGTCAGCCTTCTAAGGAAGTTAGCATTCGTATCTTTTCTTCTTGCTTATCTTCTCTTTAGTCCAGTCTTATGCAATTTGACACATGCTCATTATATTCGTGACAGGTAGATGGCTGTACTGATGATTCTCACTTCTACTAGCGCGCCACGTTCAGTTTGTTTTTACAACTGAAGCGATGAAATACAAAAAGATCTGCACTCTAAAAGTTCAGCGTTTCTCCTGATAGAAGCATTTGGCAAGAGCTCCGCCAGTTTACACTAAATTTAAAAACAGTCAGTTTTCATGCTGTACTTTTTTTTCGAAAATTTTTGCCTTTCCTTTTCAGAATGACTCTCCAATGCACGATGGCGAAATGACAATCTTTGTAAATAGCTATCTGGGGCATCTCCAGAAAACGGTGATTGGACGAGTGTATGTTGAGGATAAAGATGACTGGGATTTACCGGATAAAGTGTTCACTTGGGCACCAGGCAAATCGCTGCCAGGCTTCAGTCTTGCAACAAATGGCGAAGTAATTTCCGTTTTTTGCCTTTTTTCCAACTCTGTTTAAAATCAGGACTGGCTACACCCCGTGTTCTTCTCCAGTTTGGTAACATCGAGAGGTTATCCAAGTGATTTTACCTATCATGGTGCTTTGGAGCACCGCCTCACCGTTTCTCATCATCGGTCCACTTTTCTCGATTCTAAATTCAGCGCATTTACTTAACTCTCCCATACAGCTATCCTGGGGGGACATTTCATCTACAATTTCGGTCATTTAAGCGCTGAAATGTCGAATAGACAAGGATTTTTGTTGCTTATTTGGTAGTTCAAAAATTTCTTCGTATTGAGGTTTTGTTCAAAAAGTTCAGCATTATTTTCAGCAAATATTTAAATTTTAGATAACGATGGATGCTGATATGCCACCTCGGACTTATCAGATGGTTGCCAGCGTTATTGACAAACGACGAAATGAGAAAGCACAGGGCGTCGTGAATGTTATCGTAAAGTTGGTACCTGCTGGAGCATTTGAAAATCAGGTTTTTTTTTTCGTTTCTCGGTTTCTTTTCTTTAAACTTGAAGAAATTGGAAGAAAATGAAAATTTCTAAAATTTTC